ATTAACATCTTAGATTAATATGGTAATCTGTTACAATTAATGAACCTATTTTGATATGTTGTTAACTGAAACCTAAATGGTTCAGATTTCCTTGTGTTTTACTAATGTCCTTTTTCTGTTTTAGGATCTTATCCAGTATGCCACATTACATTCAGTACTCAGGTCTCCTCTTGGCTGGGACAATTTCTCAAAACATATTGCTTTTGATAACCTTGATAGTCTGAGGAGTACTGGTCAGGTATTTTGTAGAATGACACTCTATTGGAATTTGTCTGATGTTTTTGTCATGATTAGGTTGGAGTATATGGGTTTGAAGTAGGAAGATCACATAGGTAAAGTGTCATTCTCAGCACATCACAGCAGGGGCACATATTATCAACAATGACTTATCATTGTTAATGTAGACCATAATCATCTGGCTGAGGTGGTATTTGTTAGGTTTCTCTACTGTAAAGTTATTCCTTTAAAATTCCCTTTTCATGTTGTATTCTTTGGAAGGAAGTCACTCTTCCTGGTCTACACTTAAAGAATGAAGAATTATACTCCCCTTTCTTTGCAGTAAAGTATCTACATAATTTATTTGGAATTCTTCTGCATAAGACTGTTCTCCATTTATTAATTTTTCAATCATTTATATTAGTGTGTACAATGGATATTTATTTTACACTTTGGGTTATAATCCACCACTACATTATTTTCTTGCTGAAGTTGTTTTAGCTTTGGCCATTGGGAGCTCTTTCAGTTGATTCCTGTGCCCTTTGGTATAACTCCTGTCAATGTTGATGTTTTTATTTCTGAACACTTCCTTACTTTCTTACACTACAGGGTGCTCCAGGTTCATCCTGTATATTCCTGCTCAGCCCTGCAGTCAGATATTTTTCCAAAGGGGAGCCTTCCACTTTCATAAGCATAGAACAGCTCTTTAATCAGATGCTCCATACATGAAAACTATTCTTCCCTACCTTATCTTTGTTAGTTCACTAGAAACAAAAGTTGGGAAATGTTTAATAAATGGTATAACCGGGAAATGCAAATTCACAGTAAAGATTCGAGAAATGAAGATTCAGGTTTACTATATGGAATACAAAAATGAGATAAATTTTTTTTGATTTTTATTTATTTTTTAGAGAGGGAAGGGAGGGAGAGAGAGAGAGAGAGAGAGAGAGAGAGAGAGAGAGAGAGAGAGAGAGAGAGAGAAATACAGTGTGCTGTTGCTGGGGGCCGTGGCCTGCAACCCAGGCATGTGCCTGACTGGGAATCAAACCTGCGATGCTTTGGTTTGCAGCCCGAGCTCAATCCACTGAGCTACGCCAGCCAGGGCTCTAGATAAATTTTCAAAATCATAAATGTCCCAGAAAATCAGAGCTTTTTTGGTTTTATGTCTATATGACAAACTTATAAGGACATAAAATGATTCTGGTTAGGCTCCTCAAATAGTAGGTACAGGGAGATTATGAAACAAACTTGGAAAATTTTGAAAGAGAAAATTATGTACATTCACAAGTAGAAAATGAATAGAAATGAATATATTTTGCTTAACAACTTATGTAATGACTTAGGGATATTCTACTTACAATATTTTTCATTAATTTTCCTCTTATATGTTAATTTATAAATTACTTTGCCTAAGAATTATTTTTTTAAAAGAATTATTTAAGTATTCTCATGAAGATCAACAGCTGGCTAAAAAAATAGCATATCTATAACATGATCTAATTCGTGTAAAGTTAGTTAATCATAATCATAGCAAATATCTTGAGGCATATTTATCAACTTTAACATGGTTATTTATTTCTGTAATATTGATAGTGTCATAAAAAAATTACTACTTTTGAAATCAGAAACAAATAAAGGAATTCAATAAACATTATACAAAACCAAACATATTCCAGTAACATATGTAGTCTTTGCTGAAAAATAAAACAAGGAAAAAATTTATAGATGAACTAGGATTTGAGGATTAGTTTGGAGGTGAAGACCAATCCTCCTTGCTTGAAGTGGTAGCTTGAAACGTTGGCCAAAGGATACTTTTTTTCCTGGAAGAAAAAGTAATCTCCATTTAATACGAGTATTAAAGGCTTGGATTCTATAACTTTTTTAGAAATGTAATTTTTCCTATTATGTTGGTTGGATAAGCTATAAGTGATGAGAGGGATCTCTGGAGTTTAGAACTAGAGGTTTGTTGGAGTGATTCATGGTTGGCACTCTTCATGCTAGTCCGCATTTCTATCTAGGGCTTTAAAGGAGTGGTGAGAGCAGAGGCAATTTATGAGTCACAGCAGAGGTTCTCAAAGTTTTTGGTGTTTGGACCACTTTTCACTCTTAAAAATTATTAAGGCACTCAAAGAGCTTGTGTTTGTGTGGGTTGTATATATTGATAGTTACCATATCAGAATTAAAAAGAGAAATTAAAAAATCTATTAAAAATAGTAAACCCAAAGACATGTTAACATAAGTTGCATGTTTCTATGAAAAGTAACCATATTTTCCAAAATAAAAATTTTTAATGAGAAGAATGACATTGCTTTCCTTTTGGGTATGTCTTTCATATCTGGCTTAATGAAGATAGCTAAGTCCTCTGTGGTCAAAGTATATGAAGAAAATAGGAGGCCTTAGGAGGAGAATTTAATAATCTTTTTGGATATCGTATGTTGCCATGTATAATGCAGTCCCATGTATAATATGCCACCCACGTTTTTGGCCTAAACTTTCAGGGAAAATGTTTTTCAATTTAATTTTTTAATTCAATTTTTTATTTATGTTTAGAAACAAAACTGATTATCATGTTCCAGGGTAATATTTTGCATATGGATATCATTATTGCTTTCTAGAGTTACACTTTTAATGCATAAGCATAAATAAAAGAGTTAAAAACATTTATATAGATGATGGAATTAGTACTACCCATGTATAATGTGCATCCTTATTTTTCCCTAAAAAATTTGGGCAAACAAGTGTGCATTATACATGCAATATATGGTAAGTAATAATACAGATATAGATATTTTAAGTGTAGATATTCCTCTCTGACACTGTAGATAACTTGACAAGTGGTTGTTTTTTAATGGTTGTAATGAGGAATCTAAAACCACATCAAGGAACCTTTGTATTCTGCTTTTTATGTGTGCATACACACACGTGCATGCAAGGTGGTATGTGCATATCTATCTATTCATTGGTCTATCTTGCACTTTGAATGGATCTTTTATCTATGCATGATTTTGTAATGTCCTGCATTAGTCATTTGGAAAATATTGGTTCATTGTGTCACATAGATGAGCCATATATTGACATACCTCATACAATATCAAAAAGTAATATTTATTAAGAGCATTACAGTTTCATCAGAAAACTCTTCAAGCTGTCAAACTGATGGTGGTGAACACAAGTTTTCCAAATTTCCAAATTTCACTTGAAAGCTATAAAGTTTATCACTGGCAACAAGTATTGTCAGCTGTTTTGCTGAAGCGTTAGGCTCACTGTGTTCATTTTGGAGAAATATTTGTCAGTTCCCCAGTCAGAGTAACACTGGTTTGTCAATTGTTCTTTCAAGGAAAAATGGTGTGCCATGAAAAAAGCAGATCGTTCAGCTTACAACTCTGCCACACAGGTGTCTTTCTTTCACAGCCATCCTAGCACATGTACTTTCCATTTCTTTTCAGAGAATATTAGAAAAATGTGTACACAAGGGCTGACATTTATAAAATTAATATTTTTTAGAACTTCATCAAGGATATTTCTAAATCAATTTTTAAAAAGGCAGCAAACAGTAGGAGCATTTTGTGCCATCCTCTCGATTCCTGATAAGGCAATGTCAGCAGTGTTACTATTGTTTGGAAGACCTTCAGTACAAATGCCAGCCCAATAAAAAAAGACAAAGAACATGTATAATTATGAAGATTGTTTTTAACCTCAGGACTCCAAATAGGCTTGCAGATTTCCTGAGTCTTGCGGACCACCATTTGATAATTGCAGAATTAAAAGAGGGAGAACATGAGATAAAGGTTATATAATGGAGACAAATGGTTGAATTGAACTCAGTATATAATAATTTTATTAAAACAGAGTACAGACTTCAAGAGCCACGAGAAGCAGATTAGGAGAGAGACTGGTGGGGTTTTATCAGATCAGGAAACAGGATTTCAAATGGGCCTTGAAGGATTGGTACAAGTCCTTTGAAGAAAGAGTTGGAAGGGAAAAGGCTTGCTCAAAACGTGCAAATGAAGAACTGACCAAAACTCTGGCAAGACTGACCACTGGGATCTCGTGAATGTGAAAGGCAAATAAGGAGTAACGCCAGGCTTTTGTTCCACTGTGGTCCTATGTTTATAGGTGACAGGTAATACGTTAACATTACCGTTTAAAATTGCGAGGAAAGAAAGCCCTTTATACCGATACGATGATGGAGAGGTGGCGAGTCGGTGGTGAAGATTCAATTTGCCTTTAGATGAAAACGCTCTAGAAAAAGAGTATGTCAGAGGGAAAAGTAGTTTTGCTAATATGTTTCTGATTACTTGAAAAGCCGGTGGAAATTTGTGGCAGGGATATGGTGGTGCCCGAAAATATTCACACAGGTCTGAAACAACTCAAAGGAAAGCACTTTTGTTGAAAACACGATCCTGAAATATTGTTATTAGAATGTCGAATCCAAACTCGGCGGGTTCTGAGTCTCTCAAGCTCAGCGAACAGGGCAGCACACGCAGCGCCTTCAGACTGGGTTTTCCGCGGCCTGTCGCAATCGCACTAAGGCGGGCTCTCTGCGCTTGCCGTACGCGGACTTTACCACTGCTCTCTGAGGGGGGTTTGGCGGCGGCGGTGGAAAGGGGAGCGCGGAGGGTGTGTTGGGAGGAAAGTAGGGTGCTCAGGGGGACGGTAGTTTCACGATCCCTAACCAGCCCGTCCTTCTCCCCTCCGTCCCTCCCCTCCGCCCTTGTGTAGTCCAGGCTTCTCTGTGTCTCCGCGCGGCGGCAGGTGAGCGTGGGGCGGCGGGCTCTCAGGCTTCGCTGCGCACCCCCATGTCTCCGGGATGGGTGGCGGCGGCCGGCCGGGGAGGCGGCCGCGGGCACAGTAATGGCAGCGCTGTGAGCAGGGGAACGCGAGTGACAGCCACCGCCGCCCACCCTCTTCGCCGGGGCTTCGTCTTTCATTCCTTCAGGCTGCCTCCCCTCCCCTGTCCCCTGCCCCCTGTCCCGCTTCTGCAGAAGGTAACCCCGCTGAGGGTCCGGGAGCCGGCTGCAGACGCCGGGAAACTTCCTTTCCCGGTTGATGGGTGGCGGGGATGGGGCGGAGGAAAAGAGTTAGGGGCGAGAAGGGGGAGGGGAGAGGGGGGAAAGCGGGTGGCCGGGGAAGATGGTGTCCTGTAAGTGTCCCCGGCTCCCTAGAGCGCTGTCTCCTAAGCCCTGCCACCCCTTGGACTGGATTCCGGGCCTCCCCCACCTGGCCTTGGCCGCCCCTCCCTCGGCCCCATTTTCCTCCGAAGGAAGGAAGGTGAGAGTGCGTGTATTCATCTGCTTATTTACGTGCTCACGGGGACACACATCTCCGTGTATTTGGAGGTGGGGGCGGCATCAGTCTCTTACATCCTTACCACGAGAATTTCCACTTTTGTTTCCGCAGACAACGAAGATTGATAGCTATGGGGAGAAGTGCCTCTGTACGTGCTAGCCTGTCTCAACACTTAGGGTCTGGTGAAATAAGATCTTTAGACTCTCTTCAGAGCATTTACACACCAGGGAGTCAGGACCATTCTTTACCATCCCACAAATACGTGCATGTAAATAAAACATCTGTGAATTACAGACTTATTGTTAAGTCCTCTCCTTTCCCCACGGATTACTATTACCAGTTGAAAGGTAGTCGTTTGGAAATTTAACTTTTGAAGCTAGTGAGAACGTAAACTGTTAACATGCGCTATAGACTCTGACTTGACACTATAAAAATCTTTTAACTAGATCTTTCCCAAACCTACATTAATAGTAAATTATAGAAAGTAATCACTTTGTTCAGATTGACTACTGACTACATAGTAGACATTTTAAAACACCCAAAAGATTATCTTATTTCCCACTCTTTTGCAAGACAGATAAATGAGCAAACTGGTTATACTTTGCCTCTTTTGCCTAAATACACCGTTTGAAGATTTCACAGGTGAAATAACATGTACACAGTGTTTTGAGTTATCCTTTAAAAAATTTTTTTTAGATATTGTTTACAGGTTGCAGGAACATTTCTACAGTGTACATGTACATGGTGTGTGAAAAATGACCTTTATGTGTTTCAGTGTTCATATGCATCTGAAATACTCTTTCTTCATCCTCTGCACTCTGGTGATTTTCAGTGTTTTAAAAGTGTGGAGTTAGTTTATCTATATCTTTTATTCTCACTAGCCTGTCATTAAATTAAATGATGTAGAGTTCTTTAAAGTCAGTTTTGTGTTATCTATCAGTTAAATATTTGTTAAGCACCTATTTTTAAGCCAAGCATAAGACACTGAAATTCCTGCCCTCCTGGAGTTTCAACTTTGGTGATGGGGGAGGGAGAGAGAGACAGTAAATAAGAAGTAAAAATAATTTTAGATAATTGTATTATAAAGGAAATAAAATATGGAGTTGTGGTAGTGACTGGGAGACTACTTTTGATGCTGTGGTCAGGAAAGACTTGTCTGAGATGAACTTTGATCTGATATCTGAAAAGTGAGAGGCTATTTAGCCTTTGGAAATGTGAAAGAAGTGTTCTGTCAAAGGGAACAACAAATGGAAATGCTCAGCAGTAGTATCAAGCTTGGGTTCAGCCAACTGAAAGAAACTCAGAGAAGGAAGGCCCTTGTGAAAGATGAAGGTCACAGCCAGAAGCAGATCATGTGAGGTCTTATTGTCCAAAGGTATCTGGCTTTTATTTTTAAAGTACATTGAACAGCTATTGGGATTACTGCAAAGCTGGGAGTAATAGGGCCTGATTACCATTGGACTGTGGAGGAGATGGGATAATGGGGGAAAGAAAGCAGGGAGGCCAGTGAGAAAGCTGTGGTGGAGTAGTGACTGGAGTGTTGAGACAAGTAAAAAAGGTTTTGAGATACATTTTGGAATTAAAGGTATTTGTTGAACTGGTGGTTGGATGAAAGTGCAGTTGGCTGGGACAAGTGATTCCTGCATTTTGGGCTTCAACTGGAGGATGGCGATGCCATGTTTTGAAATGGGGAAGAAGTGAGGGAAGCATGGAGATAGGGTAGAACTGGACATGTTAAGTAGAAACTGAAACTGTTAGATGTTCAAGCAGAACTGAGAAGTAGGCAATTGGATATACATGTCTGGAATTTAGTGGAGCAGTTAAGGAGTCATTTACTCAACAAATGGCAGTGAGGTTAGAGTAGTGAGAAAACAGATTTAAAAAAACTTCTGCCTTAGTGCAACTTAAATCTGGTAAGGAAAGAGATGAGGAATCATCAGCATTTATCTGTTGGCTTAGTTATGTTTTGAATAAAAACTACATTCACATGATTCAAAATTAAACATGTTTGATGGGGAATAGAATAAAAATCTCTTTTTTTGTCTTTCATCACACAGTTTGGGTTGGGGACAAACAGTGTTAGTGTTTTCTTACATGTAGTGCTTCCAAAGATATTCTTTGTGCACATGTAAACAAGTATGTATATGTATTCTCCCCATTTGAAAAGTGATAGTATACGTCACCTGCTTTGACACTGTGTACATTTTAAGAGGATTGAACAGTATTTAAAAGTTATGAAACAGGATGGGACCACCTAAGTAAAGAATGTAGAAAGCAGAGAGGAAAGTCATAGGGCATGGCAACATTTTCTGACTTGGCCTTTGCCCAGTGACCTACATATGTGCAGTCGTTTAAAGAGCTTTTTGTGAGACTTTTTTTTTATTTTTTAGATTTTCATTTATTTATTTTTAGAGAGAGGGAAAGGGAGGGAGAAAGTGAAGGAGAAACATTGATCATTTGCCTCTCATATGCCCTCAGCTGGGGATATGACCTTCAACCCAGGCATTTGTCCTACTGGGTATTGAACCAGAGACCTTTCATTTTGCAGGGGGACACCCAACCTACTGAGCCACATCAGTCAGGGCTTGCAAGACTTTTTACAAAAGTTTGCATTGTTTCTTTTGTGTTCCCCATTTCTTATCTGCCTGTTCTCTTTATGTGCTAGAAAATTATTTGATGATTATTGAATGCAGTGTTTTCATGTAGGTACTGTCAGTTAAAATCAGATAAATCGATGGCAGGACCAGGCCTTGAATCTTAATATTTTGAAGACTTTTGACTGGCTAATGTTAAATCTTGGAAAAACAAGCAGAAATTTGGAATGTTATCATGAGATTTATAACAAATTATTGCTACTTGAGATGTGTGACTGATTTCTCTCTCAGTTATCAGTTAATCACAGTATTTGTTCAGAATGATCTGACTCCTTGCTTGGGTTTGATTCTTAACAGTGATGTTTCTATTACATAGCAGATGTTAGCATAATCCTTTTGTTCATTTCTACTACTTTGATTTATAAAGGCCTATTAGGGATACTGGAACTGTGCAGTTCCTTTGACTCTTCAAAATTTTGAAACAACAAACAGTGTTATGATCATCATGTTAGCATCTGCAACAACTTTTGGGGTGCAGTTGAACCCTGTTGATTGAGTTACCTGGAGGAGGGGAGATGGAATATTTTCTCTAAGTTGCTTTAAGCATTATTACTTCGAAGAATTAAAAATATGAATTCATATTGTGTTCTTCAGTGAATTTATAATACTTTTCTGTACTGGATAGCATTGTGATTTTCAGTTAGCAGTCTTTAGCCAGGTACTCTCTATATGAATTGATCTACCTGTTTTTTTGCTGACATTGTTCTTGGTTTAAGAACTTTAGTTTGATTTTTGTGGTTATTTTTATTGTTGTTACCTCTCTCTTTTTTTTTTTTTTTTTGCCTGAGGTTAAAGTAAGTAGCTAGTTTCTACATTGGAGAAATAAAATCTTTGATAGAAAATATTTAATAGTACTTTCTGAAGCATTAGACACTAATTTTTACATATAAGACCACTGTATGAAATATGTGTAGTGAGTTTGTTAAGCTTACTTAAACTCTGAATGTCCTATTTGAAGATTTAGTTATTCAAAAGATTTTCATTTATATACTTTTACATTGTAAGCGATGTTACTGTTGTTACTTAATCATTAGATTATAGATTGTATATGTGTCAGAGTTTTTCATTAATCAGGTTGACAGTTTATAATTTTTGTTTCTTTTATCAGCTTTAAGCTTCTTGAGGGCAACATTTCTAGCACCTGGTAGAGGTCTAGAATATAGGAAATATTTAGTAAGTATTAACTCAGTGACTTAAGTATTGTGCTAATGTAGGTTGCTTTTAAAATAATGAAATTTTGGATTTATGCTGTATAAATAGTTCTTGAATTTCTCAACTTTGTTTTAATGCAGTTGAAGGAAAAAAGTACACAATACCTAAAAGCATTAAAAATTTGTTTTTGAAATAATTTTATACTTAGAGACGTTGGAAAAACTGATATAGAGAACTCATGTGTACCGTTCACCCAGATTTTCTTAATGTTAACAATTTATATAACCAGAACACAATGATGAAAACCAGGAAATCAACATTGGTACAATAATATTAACTAAATTACACACCTTATTTGAATCTCACCAGTTTTTCCACGAGTGTCTGTTTTCTGTGTTAGGATTTGATCCAGGATCAGACATGGCATTTAGTTTTGTTTCCCTAGTCGTCCCTTCCAATCTGTGATAATCTTTTATCTTTCATGACTTCCACATCTGTGATGAGTGTGATCAGTTATTTTGTAGAATGTATCAGTTATTTTGAGTTGGATGTTTTCTCATTATTAGATTGAGGTTAATGCGTTTTTGGAAAAAGTACTACGCAAGTGATGTTGCATCCTCAGTACATCATATCACAGGGTACAGGATGCCATTATATTGTATTAGAAATTATATTAACTCTCATTTGGTTAAGATCATGTCTGTTAAATTACTCTTTTTGTAAAGTTATTAAATATTTTTCTCTTTGTAAATGCTAGCTATCTTGGGGAGATTCTTTGTAACAATGCAGATATATTGTTCTCAAACTTCTACCCAGTCCTGGCAGCATTCTTTGGTAGATCCTGCCTGTAAGAATTATAGTGGGGTTCGCCTGATGGTGATCTTATATTTTTCTCATTTCCTTCTATACTTAATGGAATTTTTCTATAAGGAAGAACTGTCCCCTTGCCACATTTATTTATTCAGTAATTTGTTTATATCAGTATGGAGTTATAGATACTCATTTTATTCTGTGGTTTATAATCTAATACTATAATTATTTTGTTGTTCAAATTGTGCCCACTCTAGCCTTCAGGTTGGCTCTTTGTCTTTTCAGTATGCTCCATCTTCTTTAAGATCTTGTATTTTCTCTGCTGCAGTCTTGGAATCAATCATTTTTTCAAGGAGCTCTGATTCC